ACTCACGGGCGGCTCTTTGTAGTTCGCATAAAAGTATACCCTGCTCCTTGGGGTTCGAGTTCCAACCTTCAACGCCGCCGAATTCCCAGAGCCTGTCTCGATGATGGCCCAAGTATGCCGAACTGAAAAGCCCGACAGCTGTGACGGAAATGCAAAAGTCGATAACGAGGACTAGCCTGTCGCTAACAGTGGCTTTCAAGGTCGCATGCATGGCCGTTATAATATGAGAAGACGAGTTGCAAGCCACTGCAAGATTCGGCCCTTTGTCACCTGAATCACCGCTTATTTAGTCGATATACTTCTTCGGCATACTGAGACCAGTGTTGTTGCGGCCAAGGCCAAAGAAATTATCAGTTCGTTCTAAACTTGCTCATACTGCCGCAGTTTTGCGGCAAGGTGGCATGACAATGTGACGTCTGGGCGGGGAACGAAATACCCCTCCCCTATTCGTGCAAAACACTACCTTGAAGAGCGATTGATTTGTAAACGGGGGCCGGCTGGTGGGCTGGCAATGCAGCCTGGCATGTCGTTGCAGGCACCCGTTCCAAGCGGCACACATGGATCACGACCTCAGTGACAAAATTAAGGGAGATAAGAGAACGTTATGACGTTGGAACAAATGTGGGAGTTCTGTTTCACAAGCGCATCAATGATTTCATGTTACGTGCAGAAGCTAATACGACTTTCCAGATATGGGTTATAATTGCATCTTGAAGGCTCGGAGACGAACCCGGTTTCCGAGTCAGCGACCGCCACTGAGCGGCTTCCCATTGCACGTTTCATGATGAATCTGAAGCTGCTGCTTCACCGCTCACGCTGTAGGAGGCTTGAGAGAAATACTTTCTTGATACAGGTCTGGAGTCTATCTTGAGCAAGTATGCGCTCATTGACCCCGCGGGTGTAGGTTCGGGTTGGGTATGCGGCTTGAGCATCAGTGTCAAGGCTCCAAGATCAAATAAGGCATCAAAATCACTTGATTTGGTTTTCATGTACTCTCCGACCATTTGTCTATGAATGAATTGGAGTGACGAACCCTGACCATAACTCGAGCCCGATTGCCAGCAGTCAAGCCTTTTCGCATCACTCCAGGCATCGACCCATTCAGTCATGATGATGGCGCGATCAAACGTTACACCGAAATGTCTGTTCCAGACTCCTCAACGACGGTGCACTCACAACAGTCGCCCAGGTTGCCAGACCCAGTCCAGTCGAAGTCACCACATTGATGCCGCGTGGCCGAAGCATCCGACGCCATCACCACACCAGATATTAGGGGTTAGGCCCGGCCAAACTTACTCAAAGAGGCAATTCCATCGGCTAGTCAAACTGTACCATCCCGATCTTTCACGGCGCTCACGGAAGCAAGACCGGTGTTCCGTATGAAACCCGGATCGAGCGCTATCATCTCCTCATCCGGGCAAATGAGATTCTTTCCAATCCAGAGAAACGTCTGCTTTTCGAGATGCACGGTCTAGGCTGGGCACGACCCAAGGCAGAGCTGGACGTCTCGCCGCGCTCGAAATATGAGTCTTACCACCATACCTCCAATGATTCGTCATTCGCGGAGTCTAACATGGGCTCCCAATACTCGGTCTATGCATCAAACACAGTGATTGCTGTAGTTCTTCTTGCGATGGCCATGGCCGGCGCAGTCATACAACTCGAGCGGGCTCGCATCGCTCGGTTGAATTTCCAGGCGCAAGACCTCGCCATCCAGGAAGCAATCGCCAGGGATTTGCAGGGCTTCGCAGTTCAACTGGAGGGAAAGCCAAAAGAGTTGCGCGTCTTGGAATTTCTGGCACGTAGAGAGCTCAACAGCTGGTCGGCACGGTGTAGAAAAGCCGGGGGCCTCGTTGTCGACGAGGATATTTGCCGTCACTGATCATGAGTATAACCGATGAACGCGAATATCAATGTTTTACCGGACCACCAGTCGGTGATGATCTACAGCCGATAGACTTTCCTCCATCCCGTGCTTTCCCAAGATTTCTCTCCGCATCCACCCGATCCTTTCGTTCCCGTTCAAGAAGGTTCTCTAGTACTTCACATTTGGACTTGTATGCCTGCAATTCAAGCTCAAGGTTGTGGACACGCTCCTGACGTCCGGCCTCGTCCTTTTCATGTACGTCCTTGACATGTCGAAGACGTTCTTCCAAATCGCCCACGCGAGCGGCTCGCCGCTCCCGAGATGCTCTGGGAACTGACGAATTGTTGCTCTTCCGCTTTGGCTCCGTGGTATTAGCCTCGTCTTCCGGAGCTGAATCATCATGGTCGCGCTGTTCGACTGGCGCATCGAGTGCACCAGGATGGCCCGAGTATGTGACCAAGCCCTCGGAAGAAGTCTTGTGTACAAATTCGTGCGTTGTACCACCATGGACATGTCGCGGCGGCGGTAGCCCATATAGAGATGCATGCGCCAGTTGAGGTGTGAAGGGAAATTGCTGAGCAAGAGATGGCAGCACCATTTCCGGTTCCATTCCCCTGGCGTACCTGGGCTGAATGCGGCCCGAGTCGTTCATCGTCGAAGTTGAAGGCCGGCAGTCCTGGTGCTCAAATCCCAATTGTTCTTCGTGGCGCCCTCTGAGCTAGGCAAAAAGGCATGACGGACATGTTACGACATGCGTGCGACCGCTGACCGATTCTCGGTTTTCGAGTCGAAAATGGGAGATGGAAACGGTCTATAGGTCGGAGTGGACAGAGATTGTGTCTTAGTACTTGGACTACCAGCTATGGGGGGTGTGGCGGCTGACATGGGGCGTGAGCTGCACTTAAGCTTCATGTACAGTCTCCCATGGATACATCTGGCCAATTGGATCCCCTCGAGTGTTTGATTTGTAACGGCGGGCACATCCAAGCTCATCCGCGGCGGTAGACGATCTTGTCAGTGGCTCAAACAGTGCGTGATGAGGGGGTTTGAGCAGGTTAAGCTGTGCATAGATCCACAGGGAATGTGCGCAACACCAAGCCGCACGACGAATCCGAGCTGTGTACCATGTCTGAGTTGTGCGCAAAGCACACCAGGCAGTGGCAATGTACAGCTTTCCGTATCTCGGGTCATAGGCTTCCAAGCAAAGGGTGGCATAGCCTCTCTTTTGGCTATCGCTGGGCGCTGTTTCGTTCGCTAATTGACCTTGACGGCCTAACACGCCACGTAGCATTAGATCTCGTACTGCCAAATCAAATTTGGCAAATTTGAGCGTATGCTCACGATTATGACTGAATTCTGACGATTGACAATTCCTACTTGATTGATCACCTTGATATCTCAGAAGCTTGGGTTTTCGCACTCGGAATCGACAAAATTGGAGTGCTGCAACACTGTCTTCATATCAACTCGATGTCTCGATGCCTTCCACTGAAGCCGGGCTCTCTCCCGATTTCTTAGCCTTCCAGATGGCAGAATTACCAAGCCTGAACAGTTCCATGATGAAATCGCTGAGTTCTTGCAAATAAATGGTCTCGTCGTAAGACAACCTCCGCAATGGTATGCTCTGGATGGTCTCAATTGCTTCGATCAAGATCTTCAGATCATTTTGAGGTCCTGGACTTAGGGGATGAATGAGGACATTGACAAATATTGCCATAGCGGCTATTGGGACGTAGAATGAGATATGTCTAGTGACCCTTGTTAGTAATCTCAATCTCGTGCCATCGTGCCTCATGAGGTGCAAGAAGTTTGATTGATCGTACCCGAATGCCCCTTCTTCTAAAACATCGACAGATGCCTTGAGGAATATTAGAGTCGAGCGGCCGGCTTCCAGCGAGATGTCAACACTGGAGTGTACAACCTTGTGGAGGTCTTCGGGTAGACTCTCGTCTCCTTTAGCAGTACCAGACCTCCGAACTGATGTGTGTATCATCACTAGAGTGTAGTGATAGTCTAGTTGCAAGTTGATGTATTGTGCAATTTGTGACATGCTCGCGTGGGGTCGAAGAAGTGTGCGGCTTGATGGAACAGAAAGTCGTGGCCGCAGAGTACCAGGTACAGAAACCCTCCACTGCTCAAGTTCGTCGTCTAACTGACGAATATGCACCAAAAGCTGACTATCGGGCATCCCAAAAGCTGCGCAGAATAGAGCAGGCGGCATGTTTCTCCTTGATCACGCCTAACGGGGATCGGAAGGCAGGCGAAATGTGGACTCCATCATCAGGTGAATATCCTGGTTTTCTGCTGAGTCTGATGTTTCGAGCCCCTTTGGCAGAGATATGTCGCAGTAGGTTTCAGTCAGAAGCGGAGGTCGACCTGATCGAAATGAGACATCTTTATCTGCCAGGTAACACAGCCAGAAGAGTTCTCTGATGTAATGACAGCGTTGTTCATCGAGAACATCGTCGATACGTGCGTACATAGCAGGATGACTGTGATGGCCACCGAGGTCGCATACTATACGACAAGCGTGCAGGTGCAGGGAGCTGTAACTTCTCCATTGACCCGATGATGATCGATAGGCTTGCTGCGATTGAATCAGTTGATGGAGTTTTGTAGATACCAAGCTGACCTACAACAAGAAGTATTGCTTGAAGCGTTTCTATACAAGACTCCTCAATGACGATGCTGAGGAGGGTTTGTGCTCTAGTGGCACACATTTCGCCGTCTAGATACAAAGGAGAGTACCATGCAGGTTTCATTCGTCGTGAGATGGCATGGAGAGCCCATACACATGCCTTGGCTGAAAGGGAAGATCGTGCAGCGATTTTGTCCTTGAGAGGGTTGTACGCTTTTGTAACGGTTTCGTGGAGAAACGTATCATCGAGGACTGGAAAGCTGTATCGAAAATATGATGCATAGACAGTGCGAATGGCCTCCTCGGTAGTGGACTTACTCGGTAGCTCGTTAGGTTGCCGGCTATCGATATCTGATCCTGCTCTGGATGCAGACTTCGGTACGGTATGAGCATGGCCATTGAATGCCAAGAATGTTTTCAAGAGAACCTCATGTCCAGTTCTTGACGACATCCATCGTCTACCCCTCTCGGACAAAATCGGCAAGCCTCTGAAGTACCAGTTATTCCCCAAATTCTGTACGCGGGATGAGAGTGGCTGCGGTTCGGCAGCCACATCTTCTGTCACAACGGGCGGTGTTGGGAAGCCGGACGCACAGGAGAGGACGGTATTGTTGGATGAGTAATGGGAATGCGGCGATCCGACTTGCTCGGTTCCAGGAGATGTGATGCTAACGTCGCTTCGAGGGGTCGTAATTTGTGGTAGACCATGGGTGTTTTGTTGAACTAAATCACCCTCTAGTTGTTGAATTCGACGCTGAAGCTCTCGAATTGCATTCGACGTAGCCCTGTTTCACACACATAATGAGCTTTGTGAGTAGGGCCATGCAGAGAACTGCCCAAGACATACGGATCCTGTTTTTTGCACTGCGATTCCCTTTCGAATGCGCAGGCAATGTTCTGGTGCCTGCACCAGTTGCAAGGCACGCCTGATCTGAGGATGGCACATTGGATCTTGGGAAACAGTTCCGCCATTAGCGAGCTCCACTATCTGAGGCAGCGACAACAGGTGATAGTTGCACCTTTCT